GGCAGGCAGGCAGGCAGGCAGGCAGGCAGATTTCTCTTTCTCAAACAGAAATTCTGCTTTCTTATATTTAACTGGTGGAGCAAAGATGAGAACTGACTTTGGATTTTTTTAAATTAAGTCCTCCCAGTGGCAATTGTCAGCATGCACAAGCAGTAACAACATTGATTATTTAGTTCTCACAAGTTCTGTCATATCAAACAATTTTTCATTCAACATGCTTGAAATAAAGTAGGCATGTTTCAGGTTAGGTTTCTCTTTAATTTCAAGGAAAATCAATGAAATAAATAAGGTAAACATTAACCTTATGTAAGAATTCGGGAAAAAAAAAGAAAGCTGTAGGACTGTCCAATCTTTCCTAGGGAGAATTGGAAATTTTGGGGTATGGTAGGGGTACCAAAATAAATAAATAAATAAATAAATAAATAAATAAATAAATAAATAAATAAATAAAAAATTAGAAAAAATGGAGACAAGGTTTCTAGTTGGAGGTTTTTTGCTTTTTTTTGTATTACACCAAATTGTTTCAAAGAGGTTTCATAAATGCCATAAATGACTAAGTAGCACCAGGAAGCTAGCGAGCTTCAAACATACTCTATATGCTAGAGTATAATTGCAATAATGATGGACCCACTGCAAACAATTTTTTTCACATTAATTTTTATTTAATGTTATTGCCATACCTGCTGAAATCGATCCATTAGCTGTTTCTGCTGAGGAACAGGAGCTGGAATTGTGGAGAGAGCCTGGAACTGATTTGAAACCATCTGAAAGCTCCTCTGTTGTTCTGATGTTAGATGAAGTGTCTGGGTTGGTGTGGGAGGTTTGATAGGGCCTTGAGCAGGGAACTGTAACTGGAAATGGGGGGAATGAGTATGCTGAACTTCAGAAGAAGCCTGAATCTGGGGTTGTAACCGTGCCTGCCCCTGAGCCTCAGACTGGGGCTGGAGTTGAGGAGCAAGCTGAACCTGTAATGGCAGATGTGGAGGGGTTGCTAGCTGAGGCTGCCCCTCGGGCTGGGCTTGTGGTGCTTGAAACGGCACCTGAGGCTGTGAGGGAGGCCGAAGGGGATGCTGGTTGGAACCATGAGGAGAGGAAGTAATCTGATTCTGGATCACATATAAGTTCTGCATCTGTGTCTGAGGGGTGCAAGACCGTGACAGGGGTTCAGAAGGAGGCCTGGATAAAGTCTGAGGCTGGGAAGGAGGTCTTGAATGCGGCCGGGAGGGTGGCCGGGAAAGAGGTTGAGGCTGTGATGGAGGACGGGACTGGTGTGGAGACTGTATCTGGGAAAGGTGCGTGGGCTGGAGCTGGGGGCTTTCCCCCATTGAAGGATGAGGTAGTGAATGGGATGGGGAGGCTCCAGGAAGTTTCTGCTGCCCTGAAGGCAACTGAAAGAGAGAAAGAAAAAGGAAGAAATAGAGGTAAATGAGTCACAAGTCTTGTGTGAACATACAGTACTCTGAAGTACCTAGCACCAGAATGCAACAGAAGCAGCCAATGTTTTTCAAATCCCAAACTCACAATTATCAACTTACGAGTCAAAGAGGCTGTTTATTCCCTCCCTCATTTCATCCCCAGTTCACTCTGGAAGAGATCCTATGCCACAAAGGGAAGATTTTAAGGGTAGAATATGAAACGTTCATGCTGTTCCACAGAGAATACTTTTGGACACCTGCAAAATTTCTTTCAATATGTTGCTTTAAAAGACATGCCTTTTAAAACTATGGTGATGAAAATAAGTCAATATAGAAAGAAAATTAAAATTACCTGGTCACTGAAGGAAAGCAATTTAAAACACTTCCAATCTCTGTCTTTGCCTTCTTATATGGTTTAAGCAAAAATGTAAATCCAACATTTTATACTAGAGGCAGATAGCAACAAAGCTGCTGAACTGTATTACTGCCCTTCTATGTCAGGAAAGTAATAAAGAAACTGTTTTTTTGCTATATGATACAGGAGAAAGGAAAGGGGTCTTCGAGCCCTATGCAAAGCACACACTTTGCTACCCTTTCCATCTTTCCGGTCTTGGCCTCAAATCTTCCTAGATGCTATTGAATCAGCCTAATATTAGATATATCTTCAAGTCCTGTTGTTATTACCTTGTTTTCATAAAATTCCTATAATCTATTTTCATGTCATGAAGCAGTCTTAAATCATTAACTTCCACATGTTAGCTACGCCACCCTTATACTAGGAAGGCACAGGATTTTAAGGATGTGGCCAGCATTGCAATATTTTCAACATATGGACTACACACTGATTTTAAGAAAGTCAAGTTCGTAAGTAATACCCCTTTCAGATATACAAAACAAATAGAGATGCACATTTTGGTCAAGAGAAACATATCATAAGTGCGATGCAGAGAAGACAGGAGAAAAGCAACAAAAGGCGGCAGCAGCAGCACCACCACTACCACCAATTCCCAGGGTTAGTTGGAATCAAAAGGGGAGCAAGCAAGAGCAGCAACAAGGAGAAAAGACAAACAGTGAAGGCCACAGATGGGCAACAAGTTCCAGGAAGGGCGAAGGTGGTTCAGCACATTGGCCCACCAAGCAAAGACTGGGACATTTGCCTATTTCTGGACCACAGGTACACATTCTCCAAACTCTGTGCAGACACATATGGTTCACCTTATATTTACAATTGGAAGCTTTTCTGTTAAGCTAGATTAAGATGGCTTGTATCTGATGTATCCATCTTAAAACTTACATTCTTTTCCAGAAACCCACAATGTTTGTGACAGAAAACAGCATGTACCTTGACTGCCCAGGATAACATTTCATTATTTACTAGGGCTATGCAATTCATCAGATTTGATTCCAAAACAGTGCTTTTGAGTGTAGAGAAATGTGAACGTACCACCTGTTGGCAACTCTTTAAAGCAGCCACACCTGTTTCCAGAATCCCACTGCTGCAGCAGAATCTTCCCTACAGCAGCTGCACAATCCTAGAAACAGACACTTTAACAAATGGCTGATGAGTGCCACATTCACGCACTTGTGCATTCCAAAGCCCCTTTTCCGAATCTAATCCAAAGAACTGTGCAGTGCTAATTTTGCTATGAACTTAATCTGATGTTGCTTTATTACTCAAAGTTTGTATGATTTGCAATACGTGCTTATAAAACCCTGCAGTCCTACTTGTATCTACTTAAAAGCAATCTTATTCAAGTAAGCAGGTACAGGATTGCAACCTAAAAAGCACACTGGATAAGTACAAAATGACACAGTCAAAGCTTAAGATTTCTGAGTATGTGTCAGTTTCTTTTAGTTTTAATAGGAAAATTGAACTAATTTGGTTTTTCGTTCTATTTTTATAGTAACTTCAAAACATGCAAACATGGCTGCTATTTCCATATTCTACTACCTACTCTGACTCTCTCTAAAAATATTTCTGCTTCATGGAACTAAAGTAACACTAAGGAGATAAAATAGTGCAGGAAGAAGTGAATGTTTACCTGTTTTGTTCCCTCTAGTTCTTGAAAATAACGCCCAGGCATGAAAGAATTTACCATTTTCTGTCAATTAGTTTCAAGGTAGGAAAAATGTTTCTGCTTTATTTTTGGTTGTAAGCCTATGGCTATAGGGACTATAAACTTGAATACACAGAGATACTCTTATATTTAAACAGAAATATTTATCCTGGTTGCTAGCCAGAAGGTAACTGCTTCTGTGATAATTTCCCCCCTTGTATTATTCATATATTTCCACAAGGGGGAGACTTCTATTGCAATAAGAGAAATCATTTCACCACCAACACCCAAGTCTTTGTTTTGAAGTGTGGGAGAATACAAACCTAGATGAGATGCTAATATTTCCCTCCTTCTCATTCTCTTTATGTTCTGCACTGAGAATGTGCAGGACAAAGCAAGTAAGTGAAGGGAAAACTAAGAAGAATGGGCAAACATGTTAGACAGGAGGAAGTAAGGCAGAAGAACAGGCCAAAGCAGGGCAACTTTATGGATTTGCAAACAGGTAAGGTCTACCTGGCAAGCCAGTGCCTGCTGGGAAGGGCCAGTCGAGAACTGTGGTACTTTGGAATCCACCGGTGGCAGGTTGTGGTTCTGGTTCAGCTCTCGGCTGGCAGGCGGCTGCAGGGCTGCGCCTACGCTGCTGCTGACTATCACCGAGGCTGGGACACTGCTTGTGGTGCTGAGTGCAGTGGTGGCTATGCTGTAGATGGGCAGAGGCATTGGCAGATGGGGAGGTACGGTGGATTCATTCATACTGCTCTCCTGCTGCATTTTCAGGGCTGGCGAATAAAATTGCTGCTGCTGCTGCTGCTGCTGCTGGCTCTGATCCTTCTGAAATTTCCAAGAGATTTAGCATGGACCACCTTTACATGATTTGCCCACTTTTAGCAATGCTGATTATTGTTTAGGCTCATATTTCGAGTTTCACTGAACTGAAAAACTTCAGCACATACTAGACTTAGTACCCTCAGAGCTTCCTCCCCTGCTATCCCCTTTGTCACAAAAATAAAGTCACACCTGAAGCTGTGCTCTCCATACTTTTGTCACCAAAAATCAATGTGCCTTCCTTTGTAATTTACAAAGCTCATAATTAATGGAAGCTTACAATCTACATTCACATTCAAATCAGGCTCTGGCCCTTTAAAGAATGCAGTTTCTAATCATAAACTGATCTTTACACTATGAAAGGCAAACATATCTAGCCTACTCTGTTGTCTTGCTATGTGTAGACAGCCTACTGAAATTTGACCCAGGTAAACAAGTATCAGTATTACCTATGAGAGAAGTCATACCCTCACCTCAAATCTGCAATCCATTAATTTGAATGTTGCCCTAATTATTCAACTGACTATGTGCCACTATATCAGTGCTGACTCTTATTCTGTGTATATATGACCATTACATCTGTATTTGTTGATTCAAATTATATCACTAGTTCAGCCTTACTCTGATTTTTAAAAGGCTGAGGATATGGGGAGAATGTATGGTTACAAATAATGAGCTATCAGAAAGAAGTGCTGAGGTCTATGGGACAAAGTCGAAGAAATGAAGTTTGCATATCAAGATATGTGAATAAGAAAAAAAGGAGTAACATGGAATATCAAAACTGCTATACTTTAGTTAACAGAAAGCTGGCCACTCCCCTTCCACTATTTTTCAGCTTTTATCAAGTGATCTTCAAAGCCAGTTATTGTGAAGCCTACAAAGTTTCAAAATTAGAATAATTTAATGGCTCTGAGTTGTCATGGCCACAAACTTTTTTGACTCTTTATCGACTCATGTTTTGCTAGTAAATTGCTAGTAAAACTCTTCAACAGAGATAGAACAGACTAATCAAAGCATCAGGAATAGCTGATTCTAAGAATTGTTTAACTTGCCTGCTGTAGAAACATCTGCATGGAATCCTGGGAGATGACAGTTCCAGCAGCTGTCTGGCCCAAAATAATCTTTTCAGGACTTGATGCCACCAAATTAGGGCTGGACTGGGAAGTCACAGGTATTTGCGCTGGTTGCTGAGGTGGTGATGTTTGTTGCTGAACATTCAATTGAAGCTGAGAAGGAGCAGAGGGCTGAGAGGTGGGCTGGACAGTTAGCATAGTGGCTTGGTCACTGCTTGGTAGCAGGTTGGTGCTAGAGGTCGACTGTGGCTGAATAAGACCAGGGCTCTGGCTGCTGGCATTAGGGGGTGCTTGTATGGTCACGGTTTGGTTCAGGCTGTCAGTAGCATTTAACATTGCCACTTGGTTAGGCAGAGTGACTCCTTGGATAACAGTCTGACCACTCTGATTGATGGCACCACTCGTCAGTGAAGCTGCAACAGTGGGCTGGCTTTGAGTTGTCAGGCTACCAGCCAGAGATACAGGCATCTGGAAGAGAGTTGGCTGGCCAACCTGCCCTGGCTGCAACTGGATAGGTGCAGAAAGAATATGAGCAGTTCCATGTGCATTCTGTGAGGTGAGTACCTGTCCCAAATTGAGCTGGCTTGCCAGATTCTGATTGGTGAGAATTTGGGCAGGCAGTGCTTGATTTGTTATTAGCTGCCCACCTGGGCCTTGGCTGGTGATGATATGAGTTTGCCCACTAGGATGTGAAGTTGTTAGAATCTGACCACCCATGTTAGCCTGTAATGCTGAGAGCTGCTGAGGGATCTGAACTGTAGATGTTCCAGTGAGTTGTCCTGGGAGAAGGAACTGATTTTGACCCTGCAACATGGCCTGAGGGACATGCTGTGCTGGGATAACAATGCTGCTGCCTTGATTAAGCAGATGAACACTCATTGGCTTGTTAAGGGTTTGTTGTTGTGGTGGTGGCTGCTTGAACATGTTGGCAGGCAGCCCTGGTGGGAAGCCAGAAAGCACCACATTCTGTCCTGCTTTGCCTGCCATAAAAGTCAAGTTCTGCTGAGTTTTCTGTTGCTGGAGAGCAGCCTCATTCTGGAGGGTCAATGTGGTGTTATTGGGGCCAAATGGTTTGGGGGTAATCTGGTACAACTTCTGCTGAAGAACTCCTGCAGGTTTGGGTTGAATTGGTGTGGGTGTCCGGTGAATGATTACATTTTGGGCTTGAACAAGTGGGCTGCTCAAGTTTGATGTGACAGTGAGTGGTTGGGAACCCTGAGTGGCTGATACACTTCCAAACATGGAGCTTCCATTCAGAGTTGTAGTGGCCACTGCTGGGAGGTTCTTCTGGATCACAAGACCGGCATTCTGTGGGGATACTCCAGCAGAGGCAAGGGTGACCTGCTGTTGTTCTGGTGCTGTCTGAGTGATATAACTTCCTACTGGCATAGTGGCCACTTGGGATGGCTGAACTTGCTTAGCAATAATCTGTTGAGTAGGCTGGTTAATTGCCATAACTTGCTGGCCAACCACTTGAATCTGCCCAATGCCCAGTGCCCCACTGGGGCTCCCATTAGGCAACCCTTGAAGGTTGGAAATTGGCTGTATGGTAACATTCCCTAAGCCAACTTGCTGAAGAAAAGGCTGCACACTGATGGCTTTGTTGACAACATCAGCCCCAACAGACTGCTGCACCAGTGCTTGATGAGTTAGAACAGCAGGTTGCTGTAGTCCAATAAGGTCAGCCCCACTGGAAAAAATCTGTGGAGTACCGTCCGAGGCAGTGTGGACCACTGGTTGGAGCGTAGGGAGCTGAAAAGAACCCAGATCAAGTTCTGCCTCTGCTTCCAGAGTCTGCTCAGTGATGTTTGCCTCCTGCAAACTCTGCTGGAGGATATCACATGGTTGATCTGAATTCTGCAGGTTAGCTCCACCTCCTGAAGGTGACCCTAGAATGTCATCTTCCAAGAAGTCTAAATCAACACTTGTTGTGGGTTGGCTTTGCTCAGCATTCAAATGATTGCCAGAGGTTTCTTGTACATGCAGCTAATAATGAGTGAAGATTAAAGCACAGAGAGAATAAAATAAATATTTCAGTGATATTAATGGAACAGAACTTCTAGATCTTTCTGTGTTCTGCAGCTTTATATTTTTACTATGTAAATAACAATTGTTACTTCATTACCTCATCAGTGTGTATATAAATATTTAATGACCATTTTCTATTATATAATGCATATAATTTAATGGTTTACTTTTCTTTAGATCCATGTTAGCTAAGTTTAACATTTCTTTACTCCCACACCCAGTCAGTAATTTTCCTAACAGAAACTTCTCTCACCAACCCCAGTTCTATTTAGCCAGAGAGGAGAAAAGATAAAGGGAAGAACCTGTGTGGGACAGGCAATTCAAGTTGGGGAATAGTACTGGGAAACTTAGTTAAAACCCAACCCTCCTTCTCAGCCATGATTCTAACACTCATCCACTCCCATCCCCATATGCTTTAAGTAATGAACAGAATGCCAAGAGATTTGATACCATGTCTCCCATGTCATACTATGTTCAGCTCTTAATATACATCATTATATTGTATACATATTTTACTGCCTGCAATTTAGAATGGACAAAAAGATGGTAAGCATTTTCTATCTTGTATAATGCCTCACAACAAAACAGCTCATATAAGACAAAAAACACTTTAATAACCGAGATCCCAAGGCACAAAAATGGAAATTCTTGACCTCATTCTGAAGGAAATCTTTCCCAACCTTTTGTGGCCTTCTAAATATTAGTCGACCATACAGATCCTAGGATGGCACCACTACATTCAGCGGCACCTAATATCAGTAATTCTGACATTAGGTGCCAAATCACTCTTAATGTTTCATACAGAGTATCATGTTCCAACTTAATTAAAGATAGATGCAGATTCTCACTGTACAGACTACTTCCAAAATGGTTAAAGTAATATATGTTTTTTAATTATATTTTTTATTTCATTATAACATACAAATGAGTGTTAGAGCCAGAATTAACTACAGAAATAGGGAAGGCTTTTTCCAGAAAAAAGTCTTTAACAAAGATGACAAGTGAGGCATCATATTATTTACTGCCTTTCTGCATTGTAACAGTTTTTAGAAAAGTCTAAGTTAATTATACCAGCATGCCTTCTTATGCTTGCTTGCTTGCTTATTTATTTATTATTAATTTTATTGCTGCCCATCTCCCCCCAGAGGGTGACTCTTAAATTCACTGGAACCCAACATTATATTTTTTGTTATTGCGCCTATTTATATTTTGAATTGTGTATCATTTACAAAGAAAGGAGTTGGGATTTCTAAAGAAATATAAACTATGCTTTAAAAATGAGATGAAAAATACATACCCCAGCACCCTCAAAGAAGGCACTGGCTGCATCTCCCGTGTTGTCCAGGAGATCATCACTGTCAATCTGTCATTAAAAAAGATTTAAATTACTGTATTTGTATGTAAATTCAAAGGTGACAGTATTTGAAGAATTGGACTATCATGGAAAAGAGACCAAATGTCATCATTTTATCTGGACAACAAGACAACAGTTCCTTTCAGTGGCTAAGTTTCTTTCCAGGAACTATGCATATACTTCCCTTGTGAGGTAAAGTTGTCTTGCCCCTTCACTTTAATCAGAAAATAAATAGTTTATCCTCCTACATAGTCAGTAATTTTGTGATAACATTTATTTTCCACTATTCAAAGTTTCGGGGGAAAATGACTGGCAGAAAAGTCTTCTCTGGTCATCAGTTCTAAGACTGGTACCATCTCAGATTTCTGCATCACTTTTCTTTTTGTAGGCATATAAGCCAAGGGTAAATATTGTATGGAGGCATTTGTATTTGTTAATTAAACATGTAGCAAATTAAAATGAATATATAAAAGAGCAAAACCTCACCTTTTCAGATCCATGTAAAAAATCATTCAAGGCCTGAGGATCACTGGAAAAATAATTGAGATGAATTTGTTTAAAGATGACTAGAAGAATTAACTTTTGCATTATTCTCTTGATTTTTAAAACTTCCTAATGAATTACCAAAACTCCACAATTGCTTAGATTCTGACTGTTGTAAATGTTATATTGCTAGGAAATTACAATTTTTATCTATTGCCTTCATACTTTATCAGCTATATTAGTGTGCGACATTCGTTTATTAGCATTATGATAGAATACACTAATTATACAGAAACACACACTTATAGGTATAGGTAAGATAAAGGGATACATACATACATATAAAATCAATCTAAATTTTTACACAACAATGTTAGAGTGATTTCTTGGTTTCTCTCCTATTACTTTGGTCCCCAAATACATTTTATTCCACTTATTCAGGATTTTAATTCTTAAATCATTGATAAAGTTTATTTACATGATACAGACTGTAATATAAAATATTGTTCTAAAATATAACAACTAAAGTTACTCCGCTTTGACCTACTGTTGTCTAAAACAACATTCCTCAATGTTTGCGCATCGGAACAATTCTCAGCATTCCAAGGCCAGCTTGCTAGAAATTCTGGGAGCTGCATTTCTGGCATGTATAAAGGATACCAAGTTGGGGAAAGCTGGTCTACTATTTTTTTGTACAACTGTTCCATCCAGCTGTCACTATAGACACAATTCAAAAGCTTTCAGTTCTATGTTCACCTCCAAAAAGCTTAAGAAAAAGCCAAGTGGCATTCAGCCAAATTTCACTTGGAATAGCAACAGCAACTAGAGTTAGTGGTCACATAGAGACATTCCAAGATTATAAACCAAGCATGAATGAAAAAGTAGATTGGTTGATATTTGAAAATTAACAGAAATCTCTGAGTAAATGTTTTGCTACAATAAGAGTGGAAAAGAAAATATAATTCATATCAAGGGCAAATACTTACCAAATTACATCTAGCAAGCATCGTCCGTCTTCATCATCCATGTCAACTGAAATAAGAGGTTGGAGTCCACATTAAAAACAGTAAGATACCACATGGCATGTAAGATGCTAGTTCAAAGCACCATAGCAAGCTTCTATCCACAAAAGCCTCTATGTACAATTCTACAATTCAAGCCATGCTAGTTCCAGGATTTGGGGCAAGTCATCCTCACTTATACTTTTATTAACCTGAAAGAATTTGGGATTTCAAATGATTAATTCTGCTACACTGCTTCTATCCATTTTTAGTACTCTATGCGAATTAAAAATGACGGTTGTTGAGAATTATGGTCCTTGGCCAATTTTGCAATCATGCATATGCTACAACTAATCATTCTTTGGAACTGGCAATCCATCCATGCATAAATGATATTCCTGTTATTTTTTTCTTCTGGTGATAATCCAACTATATTTTTATTATATGAATTACCACCCAAATTTCTAGGGGAAGACATGTGACCTAAATTTATTTTTAGTTTGGCAAAGATATTGTAGTGTCTTATAAATGTTTAAGACAAAAGCAGAATAAAAGAAATCATTCCCATGCCCAATCCAAAGCAGCTCATATTAAGAACTCAAATTTTCAATTTAAAAATCATTCTAAAATCAGAAAAAAACAGCAATCAAACAGATCAACCACTGGAACTTGCTTAACTTCCCAGCTCAAATGTCTCATAATAGTATTAGGAATGTTCGCTGCCTTGAGTTGACCAAATATATAAAAGGAAAAGGCAGGATAACAACAACAACAAAAACAACAACAACATAAAGACCTGCAAACAGAAGTAGAACGACTATGGCAAAAGAAAGCAACGATAGTACCAACAGTTATAGGTGCCTTAGGTGCAATCCCAAAACATCTAGAGCACCATTTGAACACTATCGGCATTGACAAAATCAACATCAGTCAATTGCAAAAGACAGCTTTACTTGGAACAGCTTACATCCTGCAATGATACCTTTCATCAAACCTCTGCCTATCCCAGGTTCTTCGGAAGGCCTCAATAGGTGGATAAAAATGCCAAATCCAGTCTAAACATCTGGCTGACTGTGCGACCAACCATAACAACAACAAGTAGTAGTAGTAGTAGTAGTATTAGAAATATCAGGCATTTGTCAGTTTTTTTCACAATTTATATTGCATCATATTTATTGTAAGGTAAAGTTTTACAATAAAATGTTTATTCAAATTTCAAATTCAAAATATGAGTGGCAAAATTAGGAATTTGATTTTGAAAATTAGTGCTTTTGCTTCCAATAAACTGAATGCGCAAGAGGCACTTGGCTGGTGAAACTGAAGTAGTAAAATTATGGCAAGCAATTTTAGACTATTATCTGAGAAGTTCAAATGCTTTGTTTCCTATTGCCAGCTGTAGTCATTTAAACTAAACAGGCTGGGGAAGAAAAGAATGGAAGACTTTTCTGTATGAACACAATCTTTATGGTAAAAGTACAATCTTATGTCTGCATGTGCGTGCTGCATGTTTTTTGTGTGTAAAACGTTGTAATGTGTAAGTAATCTGTTGAAAGAAAACCAGTATCAGAACTGATTTAGTTTTTCTGTATAACTAAATTATTGAATAGCATATTTGTTTCACCACCTTTCTACAAAAGGCCTCCAGGATTCTTTTATGAAATCCCAATCTTTCATACATTTTCCTTACAATTGTGCAAAAGGCTTATACTGATACAGCTTCTTAGTAACTTTTAGTGAATGCCCTAGCAGTGCAAGAGTAGCTGATATTCAAATATGCAGCAAAGAAATGTTCTTGAGGAGGTATGGTGAGCAGGTGGATCCCCAGTTGAAGTGATTGTAAACACATAAGAACATTACTGGATCATATCCAAATCTGGACAATACCAGCTGAATTCAAGCCAGGAAAACAACAGAAAAAAATTCAGCAACTGTGAATGATAACGTTCTCATTCATTTAAAAACACTTGTGTTGAACGTACTTAATTATCTCCCATAAGCTACAGAAGAATTGCTCAAAGTTCACAATGCTACAGCAGAAGCAAAATGGATACCTAGTAAAGTACAACAGCTTGCTAACTGGAGGTATTCAAGATTCTGTAATCAAAGTTTTGGATTTGCTAAACAAGCTGCCAGATAAAAAGAAGCACAAGTTGTTCTCTTCGATATAGATATTCAAGCTCTAAAACTAAAATGTGAATTGGATTCAAGAAGCACGTTCAATCATAAGTGCATATCCAAAGATAAACAATTCACTATCAATGTTTTATATACATTCTAAAGAAAACTTTCACATTTAATTAATGACTTTGTGCTTTAAAGTATTTGCTCAGTAAAAAATCTTAACCAGTAGAGCTTGTTTAATACTCTAATCAAGGGATAGAGAGACAGCATATACATCCAGTGCAAGTGATCCAGTATTTGCTGGACCATTCAAAACTATGCACGGAAGATATGCTTCAACTTGCAGGACCAGGCCACAAAGTGAGTGATGCCAGGTGTAGTTTTCAGACACATACCTCCACTTTATCATTACAGAAAACACATCTCCTTGACACTTTTGAGTTCTGTCTGAAAGACAAGTATTCTCATTATTACTTGGTATGAATCAGGCCAGTACAACATGTGGTCTACCAAGTGGCCTTGTGTGGCCTGTCAGTGTTTTTTAAAAAGTCAATACTGCCGCTGCCACCTTAAAAAACACACTGCTGAGCCCCTCCAACGTCTCTAGGCCTCACTGCCAGGCTGCCAAACAGCTGATCAGTGCCCCAAGTATTACTTTGTGGTCTGTGATTATTTTTAATTTAGAAAGTGTGGCCCTTTCTCCTCTTTTCCCCTCTCCAAGTTGTGCAAGCCTAATATAAATTGTTATACTCTTTATGGAATTCTTGAACCAGTTGCCTACAACTAATGTATCTTCTAAAACAATTGGGATTTTTGTACATATTTTCAATAATATTAATTTTCAACTTACTTAATGTTTTGATAGCATTATGTAGCATAATTACATAGAATTTTCACCGTGATTAATTTTAAAAAATCAGAGAGTGATTAAGATATTCTATCACACTTCCTACCAACAATGGTATTTACCTGAAAAAAAGACTGCTTTGACATCCCTGGATGGGATTTATTTTGTTTCAGAAAAGACATATTTGCAAAGTTCCATAAAAATAACAACTTGGTAATTTGTATTTATTCATTAAATAAATGATCAAAAAGCGTGGACAGAGGTCTGCTTAGTAAATCAACTGGATGTAGTATAAACAAACTTTGACTGCATTTTACTTTGAAATCCACAAATTTGCTGGATACAGAAAATTACCTTCTCTGCTATGAAGAATGTGACATGTTTAGTCTTCTAAAAGACAGAAAGGAGAAGTGTTTCTCCACTTCTGTTATGCCTTAGAACCACAAGAATACCTCTAGAATTTAGCACAACAGAGTGAATTCTAACACCCTTTCCCCCCACCCTGGAACTGAAAAAAAGGACAAAGAGTAAGTCTAGACCTTGTGCTGGGCTTCAGAATGCTAAGAGCACCAAAGCTCAATTCAGCTTAGAGAGTACCTGCACCTCCCCAATGGAAGAAAGACTCCGAAATGGATGCATCCCATGTTGTGGCAATCGCAAAACATTATTCAAACCCAAATACTTAGGAGAATTCATTTCAAATATACCATATACCTTTTTCTGTGCTCAAAATCTGGTCACCTGTTAACACATGAGGCTTGACATATTCATACATACAACAGTCAATGAGAAAAAGCTTAGACAAATTATTTTGATCTAAAGGAAGGAATGTGTATGTGTGACAGTAAGTTTTGGTGCACATTTAGATGTCACCTGTTCAGCTTACACAATCTGCAGTACAGAACCTATACAAGCCACAATAAATATTTCAGAGTAAGAATCTAGGAAGCTAGAAAGATGTGCTCTATTCTGGCACCAGTGACACAGAAGACTTTCATGTCATCCATTAAAGTAAAAAGTCATTTTCTCCCACTACTTGTACTACATTATAATTACTTTCTTACTCTTACTACCACCATACTTCTCTCTCATGTTCACAACATCAGCCTGATGAGTTCCAACTCTGCCCTGCATGGCATTTCTGAAGCTGCTTCTGAACTACAATCATCACCTCTGAACTTCAAATAGAAGCGAGCTAATGAAATGTTAGGCAACTAGCAGATTTCTACATTTCACAGCAAAACAGCTTTTTGGCTGATAGCCTTGCTTAATAGAACAATAACCAATCAGGCCCAATGAATATGAGCTCCCTTTTACCATCAAGTAAGGAATCTTCCTCATCAGAGATTCAGCATTAACAGAATAATGATATTAAATTGGTTTACTGTTGGCTTGTGATATACCATTATAAGAGCAGAAAGCACTCTAGGTTCAAGTGCTATTAATTCAGCATTATCTTCTGCCTTTCATAGAGTATTTTTAGAGCACATAGCCAATAATTTTCAGTCACATTTCAAACTTTTTTAGGCTTACTGGAAAAAATCTGGACTAAATAAGGAATCTAGAAATTACATAATCTGAACAAAATAGTAACAAAATGCTTTCTGTTTATATCAAATGGCAGGTTGAACATACATGGTGCACAATCTACACCTCTCTAAACTGAGGCATAATGAGGGATGCTGGGAGATAGATGTAACTCAACAATATTAGGATGGCCACATATTCTGCACCCATGACATTATATAGTCTGGAAACATTTGTAGAGCAAAGCTTAGCTCTAGATTTACAGTGGGGTAAAAAAGTATTTAGTCAGCCACCAATT